AGCTAACCTACAAGCTAACCTACAAGCTAACCTACAAGCTAACCTACGAGCTAAATTTTGAATTGAATTGAATTTTTCATTCATTCGACCTTTATTTAGACAGGTAATCCCATTGAGCCTCGAGGACTCATTTACAAGAGAGACCTTTTGCTGTCTATCCTCGTCCAGGGACGTCGCCAGGTTTGGTTGGTGCAGTCTCTCCTGACTGAGCCCTGTAGATGGACCCTGGTGAGTCCTCATGTGGTTCCTGGGGAGCTGTTTGGTTCTGCTGCACTTGCGGCCTTGGAGCGCTCAGCCCAGGCCACCCGTACTAGGCAGCAATTGGCTGGCCAATACTTATCCGGCCCCGTCTACACACCCTGTACACTGTACACGTCTGCCACTTCCCCTGATAGGCCCAACACTCCTGAGAGTCCTTCAGGAGGGGCATCAAGTCCTCCTAGTGACTCCCCTCTGGGCCGGGAGAACTTGGTTTCCACTGCTGCACAGGTTCTGTTGCAGCTCTCCAATGCTTCTCACCCACAGGAAGGACCTCCTGTCACAGTTGGGGGGTCAGATCCTGCACCCCGACCCCAGTCGCCTCCAGCTCTGGGCTTGGCCACTACAGGGCCCGGCATTACCTTCTCAGAATATGACGGGGAGGTTGGACATAAAATGAATAACGCCAGGGCCCCTTCCACACGGCTGGTGTACACTCATAAGTGGAAGGTTTTTAGCAACTGTTGTTGTGCTCGACATGAGGACCCTGTACACTGTTCTGTTCCTGTTATTCTTACCTTCCTTCTGGTGCTACTTTCTCAAGTTTGGTCTCTATCCACTCTGAAAGATTATGTTGCTTCTATCTCTTGCTGGCATACGGTGGTGGATGGAAAGACAATAAGCTGTAACAAGGATGTGTCCTTGTTTCTGAGAGGCGCCCAATGTTTGCACCCTCCCACACGCCTCGTCGTGCCTGTGTGGGACCTCTCTCTGGTCATCGCTGCCCTGCGGTCTGCTCCGTTTCAATTCAATTCAATTCAAAAATACTTTATTAATCCCAAAGGGAAATTAACTGTTGTTGTAGCTCATCATCTTAGTTTCATTAGAGTTTCCTGATGCATGCTCAATAATCCAGGTAGAAAAATCTAAAAAAGTTAAAGCTGGTCCTCTGGACATTCAATGTCTTTGAATGTCCAGAGGACCAGCTTTAACTTTTTTAGATTTCATTAGAGTTGTTCTAGATGCTGATGGCTTTAGGCAGGAAAGATCACTTGTAGCAGTCCGTCCCACAGCAGATACGAAGAAACTGGATGCAGATGCCGATACGTCCACCCAGACCCAGCAGACCTCTCGGTCCTCTTGGACAGCAAGACTGCCTGAATGAAGGGCAGAACTCTTCCCCGAGCGATGGCCATTTCTCCCGGCAGCCTGCCGAGTCCCTGCCGCCATGGACTTAACTGCAGGTGATGAGGAATGATCTCAGCCCTCCCGCTGTCACGAGCTGTGTTTCCTACCACCTCCAATATCTCGGCGGTCAGGCACTCGAGCACCACCTCCAGGTAGATGGTAATGCATCCGTAGCACCTCCTTTTTAACTCATTTGGCATTTGGGACTTAATTTAAATATTATTTGAGCTTTTGAGATGTGAATCAGCAGCTCCCAGTTGTAAAAACTACCTTGTTGTTATGGGTACGCATCATAACAAAGGTCCAAATGTAAAAAAAAGATTTCCGTAAAAATCCTTCCAGCGGCACAGCATTTGATACCAGAGGAAGTAATCATCCAAAAAAAGCGATTTTACATCCAGAAAAAAAGAGTTTTCAAAAGCAAAATCTCAGAATGAACGTAAGAGAGCTACTCCAACATGCAGCCACCCCAAACGGCGCAATTCTGGAACTCTGAATTCTGGAACTTTGAGCCCTTGGCGGAGGTGAGCCTTGAGTGCTTGTCTAAAAAGACTGCGTTTCTCCTGGCCATGGCTTCAGCCAAATGAGTAGGTGAACTCCATGCGCTGTCTGTTCATGAGTACTGTTGCCGTTGGAACCCAGCTGGTTCAGGCATTACTCTCATAGTGTTCCTCCCTAAAGTGGCCTCATCTGTGAACAACGCTGCCTCTCCAGCTTGCTCGCTTTGATGCAGGTGGCGCTGATGAGCCCCTCTGCCCTGCTTGGGCACTGGAAGCATACATCAGATGGACAGCTTCTCTGCAGCAGTCTGATCATCTGTTTGTTTGCTATGCAGGACCTCGCAAAGGGCAGGCCCTTTCAAAGCAGCGTCTTGTGCGCTGGATTGTGGACGTGGTGGAACAGGCATACACTCTACAGGGCCAAAGACCACCTGTGGGGGTACGATGCCATTCCACCAGGAGTGTTAGTGTGTCATGGGCCTCTATGAATAAGGTCACTCTGGAGGCTATGTGTGCAGCAGCCTCCTGGTCATCCCCAAATACCTTTGCTAGGTTCTACAGGGTAAACCTGGCTGCTTTTCACCTGTTGGAGGGGATACTATTGCAGCACTCATCTTCGTTTCAGTAAGATGGGAATACTTTTAAGTTTTATTTATATTTTATTTTTTGTGGATGTTATTCCTCAGGACTCTGTTGGCAATCATCATCCAGTGCCTTAAGCACCGCTTCTGGCGGTCAGTAGGGATGAAATAAAACTAAAGTTACGACTCAGGATCAGGATAAAGTTACGACTGTAACTACGGTTTTATGAATCCCGGATGACCACCAGAGCGCTCGGTCCCTCGGAATCATCGTGTTTCGCAAGAAGTTTAAGGGACTGAGCTATCGTTGTCAAGTGCTTATATAGACACACCGGTGTCATCGTGGGTCACACGTGCCTATGTTGGCATAAGATACTAGACCTGTGCATGTGCAAGAACGATCATTCAGCACTTTAAGTACCGCCTCTGGCGGTCATCCGGGATTCATAGAATCGTAGTTACAGTCTAACTTTCGTTCATGAGATGGTTCAGTCACAGGCAGAGGTGAGCACCAACACAATGGCCCTCTGAGTGTTCAGGAGGTCTGGGTGGAGCAGACTGACCAGAGCACTGCAGCTGGGACAGGATCTGAGCGCCTTCGAACCGCTGGCCGACCATCTTCAGGTTGGGCTTGATGCAGCGGATGAAGCTGGAGCCCTGCAGGACAACAGGAAGACATGTCACTGACGGCTGGGACACCAGAGACATCAGAGACACCAGAGACATGGGAGACAGCAGATACATCAGACATGGGAGACATAACAGACACCAGAGACATGGGAGACATCAGAGGCATGAGAGACACCAGAG